GGTCGGGATCAAACCCACGACCTCCTGTATACCAGGCGAGGTAGTGAACATCTCACCACAGGGAGAGAGAGAGAGACACCGCAAACTCCAAATATACAACAGGCATCAGTTTCGTGATCGAAACCACGACCTCCTGTACACCAGGCGAGGTAGTTAACATCTCCTAGCCACCGTGATTAGGATGAGAGAGAGAGACACGCAAACTCCAAATATACAGCAGGCATCAGGTTCGGGATCGAACCCACGACCTCCTGTACACCAGGCGAGGTAGTTAACATCTCCTAGCCACCGTGGTGATGATGAGAGAGAGAGAGACACTCAAACTCCAAATATACAGCAACAGGCGTCAGGGTTGGGATCGAACCCACGATCTCCTGTATACCAGGCGAGGTAGTTAACATCTCCTCGCAACCGTGATGATGATGATGATGAGAGGGAGCGAGACACGCAAACTCCAAATATACTACAGCAGGCATCGTCAGAATCGGGATCGAACCCACGACCTCCTGCACACCAGGCGAGGTAGTTAACATCTCCTAGCCACCGTGGTGATGATGAGAGAGAGAGAGAGACACGCAAACTCCAAATATACAGCAGCAGACGTCAGGGTCGGGATCGAACCCACGACCTCCTGTACACCAGGCGAGGTAGTTAACATCTCCTAGCCACCGTGGTGATGATGAGAGAGAGAGACACGCAAACTCCAACTATACGGGTGTCAGGGTCGGGATCGAACCCACGACCTCCTGTACACCAGGCGAGCTAGTTAACATCTCCTAGCCACCACTGGCTGCAGGTTCACGTCGTCTCTGGCTAACGGTGACTGACGCGCGTTACCACACCTCGTCATAACATTTGACTAATCGTGTTTGATGACGATTGTCGTCTCACCTTCCCTGCGTAGCCCTTCGAGTGAAATAGTGCACCGCGTATTGTACGCCAGTGTCAGCGATTTTTCTAAACGTGAATTTATACCGACTTTGCTTCCTGGAGCGCCGAATGGTTTCGACCGCCCCCCTCAAATATAAATCATCATCATCATCACCACAAAGCAACACACCGATTTACCTAAAATATATAATGCATCTATAAAAATCTGTAATGATTAATTACGCCCGCGCTAAAATAGGTTGGTGGAGCGGTGGCGCAGCGGTTAGCATTTCTCGTGCCACGAATCCATTCCAGCAACCCGAGTTCGATTTCCCAGCGACAGGTATTCATGAGCGGCGAGTGATACATGGTGAACGGTGTTCTTTTCTGCAATATTTTGCTGTCTTTTCTTGGATTTCCTGTTTGCACTCAGTCACATATTCACTTTAAGATGTTTTTTTGTTCATGTTTTTGTTTTTTGTTTGTTGCGGTTGCACCCGATTCAAGAGCCGAATGGCTCACAGGGCTATACCTAATACATGAAACTTGAACTTGATACCTTGCCTCCGCCAAGCCCACCCTGATCAGCGTGGTGAAGTATGGTCCAACCAGGCCCCCCATAGCCAAATATATTGCGATGGCGAGATGTTAACTACCTCGCCTGGTATACAGGAGGTTGTGGGTTCGATCCCGACTCTGACGCCTGCTGCTGTATATTTGGAGTTTGCGTCTCTCTCTCTCATCATCATCACGGTGGCGACGAGATGTTAACTACCTCGCCTGGTATACAGGAGGTCGTGGCTTCGATCACGACCCTGACGGCTGCTGCTGTATATTTGGAGTTTGCGTGTCTCTCTCTCTCTCCCTGTGGTTGCGTGGATTTTTCTCCGGGTCCTCCGGTTTTTCCCTCTATATTTAGAATTAACAACACGCGTTTAGGGTATTTTGCTGCTATACATGTCCACGTGATAAGCCACTTCGTTGAGCTATCATTTGTGGCCAGGTCGCTTCTGAAAAAGAAATTAATATCTCAGTGGACCTTACCTGGTAAGAACAAAAATAGTTAACCGAAAGACTCAAGGATTATAGTTCCTTATGCTTTGCACTGCTATCGTGTTTTTTGTATTGTTTGCTGTTGTACCATTCTCACCCGCGCCTACTGGACATCTGTGAAAGAGAGCTTTCTAGCTCATCAGATTTCCGCCAGGATTAATACACATTCATTCAGACTACACGCACTCTACGTTATAAAACAAAAACGTGGAACACCACGTGAATAAGTACACAATCTAATATTGGCACTGTTATTTTTAACACGCTGTATATGTTGACACGTGTGTGAACAATGCACACATCACTTACGGATTCAAATCGGACGTCAACCTGGGCATTTGTAGCTGCCCAAACGTCGTCGTTTACACCGCCGACTGACGCGACGCGTCCACGAGTTGATGTCACCGCAGCGGTCTTTTTTGATTGCGCGCATCCACAAATCGCGCCCGGACCAACTTCCATTCGCGGGCGAGCACGCGTCCCCAAGGTGCGTTACGATGGCCACCTTCTCCACCTTCACCGCCTTCTCCACCTTCACCGCCTTCTCCACCTTCGCCGGTGAAGGTGGCCAGGAAGAACGGTAAAACAAAGCCCTGCGACTGACCAGGCGGTGGGAAGACCTTCATCCCCGTTCAGCGGCGGGTTGAGAAAAGGCCGACAATAATTCCGAACGTCCAGGCTTATCGCGATACGCACGTCCTCGCTGCTGCTGCTGCTGCTGTCTTCGCTACTACGAGCACGTTTGAGCGTGACGTACTGCATTCTTTTTTTTTTACTCGTCGTATATCGTTCAAAGGACGTGTGTCCCACAATGTGCTTTGGAGATTGTGCATTGAGATGTGTCGGGAATTTCACGTGATAAAGACGATGACGACGACAACAACAACCATAATTTACAGCCCTTTGATGGATGAAGACCTGCCCACGTTGTGTCGGTCGTGGAGACTGTTTGACCATACTTCACCATTCTGGTCAGAGTACAGCTTGGCAAGGCAGGTGTCCAGCTATCACTGGCCACCGATGTTAGCCGTGGCCGGGACACAAGCACAGATCTCCCCACTCCGCCACAGCTCCACCATAATAACAGCGGTATTGCCATGACCACATCGACTAGCACGGTTGGCAACGTACGGTGCGAAAGAAAGTTCAACATCGTGCATTACACGGTTTGATCGATGTGTGCTTATCGCTACACGATGCCGCCGGGAGCTCCCTCTCACTGTGAATGGTGGGCGTATGATGGCTTTTAAAGTTGTATGTTTAAAAGTTCTATGTTTTGACATACATCCCACTGGGATTTTTGCACACAGCGTTGGTGTACGGTGTTTTTTTCTGCAATATTTTGCTGTCTTCTCTTTGAATTTCTTTTTGCACATAGTCACTTTAAGATGTTTCTTGTTCATGTTTTTGTTTTTTGTTTGTTGCGGTTGCACCCGATTCAAGAGCCGAATGGCTCACAGGGCTATACCTAATAAATGAACTTGAACTTGACAGATGATGATGATGTGTTTCACCACGACAATTGAGGATAGCGCAGATTGCAACTCTGGTCACCAGTCTTAAAGCACGCACCACAGAGTGACGCCACCACCTTACTTCCATCATTCGCCATCAGAATTTCAGATGATAACTTCAGCATATTTCTAGGCCATCGTACTGGCTCACCCACAGCACTCGGCACGAACGGGGAAACATTGATGATCAAACTAGATTCGAAGCTTTCGTGACTCAGGAATTATTCGTTGGTTCTTTCGGTAAAGTCACGCAGAAAGAAATTCAATTAAAATAGAATACGACGTTTCGATTGCAACACAAGCAACCACCATCAGGTAGACATGATTGAGAAAACAAACATAGTGAATTTGTAAATATAGTGCAATACAACACAGAGTGTTGGCCAACAATACAGTCAATACCCCACCTGGTTGATTACGTTCTTCCGAAGATTGATGATCAATTACATCCCTACTGTACGGAGGAAGAAACGGCTATTTAAATATATGGGTCTCTAACTCTCTAATATAAAACAATAAAAAATTCTCACGACGCTTCGACTGCAACACAAGCAATCATCATCAGGTGTGAAATCCACAGCAAGAAAATTTCAAAATTTCAAATTTTCTTGCTGTGGATATCACACCTGATGATTGCTTGTGTTGCAGTCGAAACGTCGTGAGAATTTTTTATTGTTTCATATAAATATTATTTTATTATTTCCCTTCTACGTGACTTTAGCGAAAGATCCAAAAATATGAATCCCTGCAGTCACGAAAGCTTTAAATAAAAATATTTTACTACTGAAATGTATTTGTTGCCCGATTGAAACGGCTGTACGCTGTACAAACCTGAAAACTCAATTCCCCTGTACGAGAATACTGGGGGTTAAACCGTATGGGGTTGACAAATATGGGGTTAAATTTCGATTTAAAGCTTTCGTGACTGCAGGGATTAATCTTCTTGATTCTTTCGGTAAAGTCACGTAGAAGGGAAATAATAAAATAATAAAAATAAAACATAATAAAATACAATTCTCACGACGTTTCGGCCACAACGCAAGCAGCCGTCCTCAGGCGAAGAACAGGGCTGTCGGAAAGACAGCGTATTTTTAAAATCCTTTATATTAAGTTCGCTTGCTTGCTTGCTTACAACCGTGCAAACCTTTCGGTCGTTTTTTAACCCACTTCCCGTGATCCAATCGAGCTGACATTTTGCACACAGACTCGTTGTGCGAGACAATTAATGTTCGTGAAATTTTTTTTCCAAAATTTTACACTGTTTAGGGAAAACAAATTAAATATTAAATTACCAATTGTTTAATACTGCAGACAATCATCTGACCCATAGGTGGCAGCCATCTCAAGCCAGAGGACGAGAGGACTCTACCCTCCACGCATATAAAGGATTTATAGCGAAAAACTTTGTTTTTACGGGTTATATTATTACTTTATTATTTCCCTTACATGTGACTTTACCGAAAGAACCAAGAAGATGAAATACGGGGTTGACAGGTAATTGTCACTGCACAGCGAGACACACAAATCCGTGGTTGCAACACCGGTGATGGGACGTCTACTTACCATGCTCAGAGCGCCGTCAGAGTTCGGACCCCACTGGGAGAAGCTCTTCAGGTGGATCTGGGGAAGGTTGGGATCACGTTCGTCCGCAGTGGAAGCGTCGACCGGGCGAGATCGTTGATCTTGACTCGGATTTTGCTTCTTCATCCGTCACTTTTTTTGGTGAGAAGAAGAAAAAAAAGCAGACAGCGAAAGGGGTGAGCGTGGGGTGGGGTGTGGTTCCTTTAGATGGCGAGAGAGACACTGAGAGAGACACTGAGAGACAGAGAGAGAGAGAGATACTGAGACTGAGAGACGAGAAAGAGAGACAGAGAGAGACACTGAGACTGAGAGACGAGACAGAGAGATAGACCGCTTCACGAATTTGCGTGTCATCCTTGCGCAGGGACCATGCTAATCTTCTCTGTATCGTTCCAATTTTAGTATATGTACTGCCAGAGAGATAGAGAGAGACTGAGAGACAGAGAAAGACAAAGAGACAGAGAGAGACAGACAGAGAGAGACAGAGAGAGACACTGAGAGACTGAGAGAGACAGAGAGACGAGACAGAGAGACAGAGAGAGACTGAGAGACAGAGAGACAGAAAGACGAGACAGAGAGACGAGACTGAGAGACAGAGACATCTAGAGACGAGACAGAGAGAGAGAGACACTGAGAGACAGAGAGAGACACTGAGAGACAGAGAGACGAGACAGAGAGACGAGACTGAGAGACAGAGACATAGAGAGACACAGAGAGACAGTGAGAGACAGAGAGACACACTGAAAGACACACAGAGAGAGAGAGAGAGTCACAGAGAGAGAGACAGAGAGACACAGAGAGACTGAGACAGACGGAGACAGACGGAGACACAGAGACAGCTTTCTCGACGGATACCCGGGGGCACAGGAAGAACGTCCGTCCCCAGGCAGCGAGACAGCAAACGGAGCGAAAGTCGCGAGCAACACGACGCCACGACCTCGTGCTGGACTTGACAAGACTGTTGGGGCAAGCGCTGTTAGCGAGCAGCACCTCTTTGTCTCCCCAGTGGCGATGTTCACACATCGCTACCGGGTACTCATTTGAGGCTGAGTCGACATAGGGGAGGCCCAGAACCGGTTCAGATAAATGTCACTTGCGTTTGCCGTAAGCGGGAATCGAACTCGGGGTTCGCCAGGTTCGTAGCGCAGCGCAGCGCTAACCGCTACCCCACCGCTCCCCAGACACACAGAGACACACACACACACATAGACCCACAGACACAGACCCACAGACACACACACACACCCACCGCTCCCCACACACACAGACACACAGAGAGGCAGACCCACAGACACACACAGACCCACACACACACAAACAGACACACACAGACACACACACAGACAGACACACACAGACAGACACACACGCAGACACACACACAGACCCACAGACACACACAGACACACACACAGACCCACCGCTCCCCACACACAGACAGACACACACAGACAGACACCCACACACACACACAGACCCATAGACACACACACAGACAAGACACACAGCCAAAGAGAGGCACACACACAGACCCACAGACAGACACACACACAGACAGACACACACGCAGACACACACACACAGACCCACACACACACACAGACCCACAGACACACACACACAGACCTACCGCTCCCCACACACAGACACACACACAGACAGACACACACACAGACACAGAACCACACACACACACAGACCCACAGACACACACACACAGACCTACCGCTCCCCACACACAGACAGACACACACAGACAGACACCCACACACACACACAGACACACAGACACACACACAGACAAGACACACAGCCAAAGAGAGACACACGCAAAGTCACAAAGAAACCAGAAGACACGACGCGCGAAGGGACGGATGGAGGGGGGGGTAAAAGATTCGACTGAGAAAGTTCACAGAGACGCACGGAGAGCGCTGCGTGCGAAGGGAAGTAATCTTGACCACCTTCGCCACGCCAGCGATCGAACCAAAGTGAATCGAACACCGTCACCTACCAAATACATCTCGGGGAGGGGAGGTGGAAGTACATTCATCATCCTCAAGAGTCCAGCCTCGTACTGCGGGGAAAGGGGAGAGGCCGCTGGGGTTGTTCTCAGGGTGTGGGGGTGGGCAGGGCCGGGTCGTTTGTTGGACAGGGCCGTGTTTGGGTCACTGGTTGGGACAGGATTTTTGGGAATTTCCAGGCACTTCTATAGGGTCGGGTTGGGCCAGGATTTTTGGGAATTTCCAGGCACTTCTATAGGGTCGGGTTGGGCCAGGATTTTTGGGAATTTCCAGGCATCTCTATAGGGTCGGGTTGGGCCAGGATTTTTTGGAATTTACAGGCATCTCTATAGGGTCGGGTTGGGACAGGATTTTTTGGAATTTCCAGGCACTATAGGGTCGGGTTGAGCCAGGATTTTGGGGAATTTACAGGCATCTCTATAGGGTCGGGTTGGGACAGGATTTTTGGGAATTTACAGGCATCTCTATAGGATCGGGTTTGGCCAGGATTTTTGGGAATTTCCAGGCATCTCTATAGGGTCGGGTTGGGCCAGGATTTTTGGGAATTTCCAGGCATCTCTATAGGGTCGGGTTGGGCCAGGATTTTTGGGAAGTTACAGGCATCTCTATAGGTTCGGGTTGGGCCAGGATTTCTGGGAATTTCCAAGCACTTCTATAGGGTTGGGTTGGGTGGGCGAGCGAGAGGGCGTTAGCGAGGTCATCGCAAGAATGTTTGGCCGGTGGGGAAATACCCGTGTCAACGAAATGAATAACGATTAGCAGAAAAAAAGTTTAAACTTGTGGAATGCACTAAAAAAAACCTCTCCAGGAGTGTGCGGCTGTGGTCACCCAGATCAGAGCGTAACGACAACGCCAACAATGACGGACGCAATTCCCCGATCCACAAATACCAAGGAGACATCATCGCTGTGATTCCATTCCGCCGCTAATGAAGTGGTGATCTGGGCTTGATTCACCTGAATGTGAAGTTTGTAGTTGTTGCATTATCTACATCAGCAGCCGTACGAAGGATAGATGAATAACAACGCCTTGCTAATTTAACACGTAGGCTTTCGCGACCAAAATTCATAATCAAAGCTTTTGGGTTAGATTGCGTCAGTATAAATGTGTCGTAACCCTCCATCAGCTGACAGAACCAGTAAGGTTTGTCACGTAAACAAAACGTGGCAATAAATTGCAAAGTAAACACACGACATTTACCATTTGAGTACTTAAGTAGTCATTCATTTTGATTTAAAGCTTTCGTGACTGCAGGGATTCATATTCTTGGTTCTTTCGGTAAAGTCACGTAGAAGGGAAATAATAAAAAGATAAAACAATAAAAAAATATGTATAAAACAATAAAAACATTTTATTGTTTAATATTTTTATTATTTTATTATTTCCCTTCTACGTGGCTTTACCGAAAGAAACCAAGAAATAATAATTAATTGCCAAGTTTTTTTTATATGACATTTTACTGGCTGTGTCTGGTGATGGAGGGTTACGACGCATTTATATTTAGGCGATCTAACCCAATAATCTATATTATGAATGCCTTGCTAATGTATGACAAACCACCTATCTCAACTGCTCCACTGACCCGAGTTTAAACTCCCAATCAAAAAATGGTTTGAACCGGTCCTGGGCCTCCCCTAGGTGGACTCGGTCACAAATGAGTACTTGGGATACAAAGGCAACCGGGGCTTGGTGGTGCTGGCAACTCCACTCTCCCTCGTGTGCCACAGTGCCGGCCTTCGTAGGTGCTGCTCGCTAACAGCACTTGCCCCAACGCTCTGGTGAAATTATACTGGTGGGAACCTCCTGGTTACACCAGCCCACAGGGGATTATTGTGTCCGTCCGTCCGTCGTGCAGGGAGGAGCTGGGTGGGGAGGGGAGGGGCTGGTCACCCCATGGTCCCTTATAAAACTCAACGTTTAACCTACTCACGCCGGCTTGTGCCCGCCCTCACAGTCGGGCACATTTGCGGAATACACCACGCCGCCGTTGACCCTGGCCATTGACCGAGCAACCCAACGTTCCTACCAGCTCCCTCCGCAGGAATGTGTTATACAAGGGGGTCGGGGATCTTTGTCTTATGACTTGGTTACTTGTCCTACCTTACACTTTTACACTTCATCATTATCGCCACCACTAACATAGCCACGAGCTATCCACGTTGTCATCAGCCGTGATTTATTGGGCGCAGGAATGCATTGCTGAGTGCACCGAGACTCGCAGGAAATAAACGTCACCAATGAGTCGGCAATATTTGAAAACATAATTTGCATCTAAATATATTTTTTTCGTAATGCGTTCTCGTTGAATGTGGGTTGTCTGTTACGCAACAGTTGCCGTTTGGTTGATATCAAATGCAAATTTTTTATCAGGAAACGTTGAGGAATCCGATGAGTTATGCAGCTATTTTCGTTACAGACGTTCAGTCAGGGGTGGAGTCAACGAGTTACAATACAAAAAAATGGTCATCAGGAAATATTACAAAAATAGAATTCTAATCAGGCCCGCCCCATGGTGTAAAGTGGCAGTTCACAACTCGTATTATCTGCACCGTCTCTCCGCGCTCCCTATTTATAGAGCAGTGTTACGGAAGGGCAATGGCACGACACTTAAATGGTTTAATTCTTGCAAATCACAGCACGAGGTATTTCACGACCAGTGCAAAGCAGAGTTTAATGGTCGGCATACACACAGGTAGCATTAATCCGGGCGGCCGCTGGTATTCGAACCACGAATTTGTCTACAACAAACACCTTTACCGCTGGTCCTTGTGCTGAAATTAAACGCGAGGTTTCTATCAGGGATGGCAAAAAGAAGAGTCGTGGCTCAGGATCACGATTTTATTTCAAGAATCGATTGCAGTATGACTTATATATATATAAAAATAGGAAGAAAAAAACCCTTGGGAAATTTAGCGGCCTCTAGTGGCCGGAGGGGAATTACATGACCCCTATTAATCATACACCATTAAACGAATCTTAAAAAAAACCCGTTCGGTGCTGTATCCTTAACATAATTTAAATTAAATAATAATAGGGGTTTTTACCTTTTTTTCTGGCAACAAAACTGAAACCTTTTTCCGAGGATTCATGTCTGCATTAACCACAATACTTGCAGTCAAAATGCAAAACACAAAACCACTATGATAATATATGCATTGTCCTTGAAACTGATTGGTCCACACCAAGGGACGGCTTTCTTTTGAGCCTCGACCCAATTGGTGCTCGACCAGAGGACGCCAAAGGGCGTACAGCTCACAGACAATGCTGCACTATCAAAGTAATGAGGGCTCGGGGTGAGCATCTACATCATTAGACCTCCTTTGCCAGTACCAAAATATAATAGGATAATTAAAATTGATAAAGAATCCACGAATAATCGTTCACAGGGCACGGAATTCGATGCATGCACACCATGAGCTTGTGAACAAATATCAATCCGTTCATCGTTACATGGGATGTTACCCACCACCACTCCCCCACGGCCAGGTTAAGGTTCTTGTAGGCCCTAGGCAAAGTTCAAAGTTCATTTATTAGGTATAGCCCTGTGAGCCATTCGGCTCTTCAATCGGGAGCAACCGCAACAAACAAAAAAAACATGAACAAGAAAACATCTTAAAGTGACTATGTGTAAACAGAAAATCCAAGAAAAGACAGCAAAATATTGCAGAAAAATCACCGTACACCAACCCTGTGCAAATATCCCAGTGGGATGCAAGTCAAACAACAACAACCACAAGACAAGATTAAGGCCATCAGTCTAACTCTGTACTACAACAAACAAAACATGGCCAAACCAAAAAAACTTTTCGAATATCACCAAAATAAAGCCATAAAAGCAATGAAACAGTGATCATAGGAACTGTGACCGAATTTTCACAATAAACGATGTAAACAACATGTACTACCAAACTCTGCAGCCATAGCTGGCTGCATGAGTCACTCCACAACAGTAGGAGCATCATTCGGTGTATCAACATTTTTCAATGCATCTTTAAGATCAGCACACTAAATCAAAACACAGATCATACTTTGCATACTTTGCAGCGATCATCCGGAGCGAAACATTGTATTTAGGCCAATAAATTGCAGTGGCAGCTAGGGGTGTACAACTCCTCTAGAGCAGTTTTGAGTGAAGATCTCATAGGTAGTGATTCAAGTTGCAGTTTATTGGCAATAGCATTCCAGACCCTTGGGGCATCAATAGCAAAGGCCCTTCCTCCAGTATTTGTACGGCAATAGGGAATGTGAAGCTGGTAAATGAGGGAAGACCTTAGGTCAAATTTGTTCTTTGAAACAGAGAGGAGATCCAGCAGGTAATCCGCGGATTTTTTTGTAAGTACATCATGAATAAATAAGATCTGATGCACAAGCCGTCAAACATTGAGAGATGTTAAGTTTGACCCAATGTAGAGATAGGCACTTCTGTGTCGTCCGGCCTTCAGTGATTACTTTCTACAGGTGGCACTGCTGCTGCTGCCCCCATGTTGTCACCCTTGCACTGCTGTCCGTTGAGAATGAGATTGTGCGAAAGACACCATTTGAAGGTGTTATTGCTAATTTTGCAATGAAAAAACTTCAAACTATGGCAGTGACAGAGATGTTGCGGTGGATGTTGGGCTCAACAAGGAAGGACGGCGTGAGAAATGAAGAAGTGAGAGAAATACCCAAGGCGGTAAAAATCACAGAGAGAGAGAGAAGCTCCGGTGTGGTTCGGTCATATTGAGAGATGACAGGAAAACCATGTGGGTCAGAAGGTGGCAAGTGATGCAAGCGGAAGCAAAGAGATCAAGAGGAATGCAGAAGAAGAGGTGGTGGTGGCGATGTGGTCCGATCGGACCCTGGTGGCCCGAGGAGCGGAAAGAGAGATGACGCAGGACAGGGCAGCGTGGAAGAGGTTGGCAAGGACAGCGGACATCCCCACATGAGTGGGACAAAGGCGTGGAAGAAGAGTTCTTGGCTGATGTACATTTCCCCATGATAAGCCACTTCGTTGAGCTGTCATTTGTGAGAGCCAGGTCGCTTCTGAAAAAGTAATAGTTAAATAAACTTTTTTTTTAA